GGCTCTCTGCATAGTCCTGTTGGACATTTCTGGAGTCCTAGTGACATCATCACAAGGCACACCCACATAATGGATTTTCTTTCTTTCTTTTTTTTTTATTTAAAGAGAAAAACAAAACTAAATGAAGCAAGACAGTAAAAGGCTAGAAGCAACACAGAATTTCAAGAGAAAAAACATACAGTAAGAGTTAATAGATCACACATGGTCAACTTACAAACAGCTGTCCAGATTACAAAATTAAAGCATACAAAGTGGAGATTAATACAGTGAGATTGCAGTCAGTTCTGTTCAATGATCCAAGAAAAACTCAGCAATATGGTTCTACACATCCTACACATTTAAATAAACTTGCAGTTATATCCTTGAGATCACTTTCCTTCCTCTCTTTTTTACACTAACAATCGCGCATTTTAGTTTCCATTACTTCCACAGTTTTAACTTTTTCTTTGAAGAGGAAAAGAAAAAAGATTGAAAAAAAGGCCGAAAAACAAAAAACAAAACAAGACGGATCAAAGAAAAACCCAATGTGACAAAGCAAAACAGAGTCATTTAGATCAGGAGGATGAACATAGCATAAAATGTAAAATAAAATAAAGGGGGGATTGCTAGATGATCAACAATGGTTACCATTATGCCTCTTGTTATCCTAAAAAGAGTAGCCTATATCAGCTAGTATAAAAGAATTGAACAAAACTGTACATAAGACCAATAAAACCACATTGGAGAGCTTGATTCCAAAGAAGATAATAGTCAAATAATAACGGGCATCATAGAATATCTGGTTGCCTTCCAAATGGTTGCCTATACCCTCAAACTTGATGCTATTAAGCGAAACAGAATATAATAAAATCAGTCAGAACAAGATATGGAGAACACTACAGGGGTTCAAATCGGGTTAATAGGGAAACAAAAAAAAATTACTAATCTATCGTACTATTTTTAATTTAGTTTTCCCTTAGTTAAAAGATACTAAGAAATAAATTAATTTTTAAAAAAAAGGAAAGAAAAAGTGGGGGGGAGACTGAGATTAAAAAAAAAAGAATGTGTCAATATAACAACACCGGTCAGAATCGAAAAATTTAACCATCATTGTGTTTCACCCCCAGATAGCTTGACATTAATAGTAGTAACCATGGATTTTCACTGCAGAGACACATGGAGCAGTGCTGGAAGGGACAGCATGGTGGCTGCCTGTTTCACTTGGGTAGTTTTATGGTTCACTTTAAAGTCACAACTATATTCTGACTACAAAACTTTTGACCTCAGAATGTGATTCTTATAGGAAGAAGGGCACTTGCTTTTGAATGCTGACAAAATCTGTAACATTACAGCTGAGGTCACATTTCAGTCAGTCTTTTATGGGAAAGGTACGTAATATTTTCATTAAGATGAATTTTTGCTCTCTGGCTACATTCTCTGGATTAGTGGTTGTCCAATAGAAAAATAATGCAAGCCACCCACATAAATCAAAATTTCTAGTATCACATTTTTTAAAAAACAGATGAAATGAATTTAAACAATGTGTAATTGAACTCAGTATATCCAAAATATTACTTCAACATGTGTTCAATATTTGAAAATTAATGAAATGTTTTACATTTTTCCCATGTGAAGTCTTTAAAAGCATTGTGCATTTTATACTCGTAGTTCTGAACTCGGATGCAAAATATTCATTGGAAATACTTGATCTGTATTTAGAGTTCATGAAATTTGGAATTAAAGAGGTAGATTCACCTACCCAAGAAGTTCATATTTCAGTTTTAAGTTCATAAACTTAAATATTTTCTAGTGAATCAAGTATCAGTCTGTTATCTGCCTATCATCTATCTATTTATCTAGTGACACTGGAGATAGAACCCAGGGCTTTACCCAGTGCTACCACCCCAGCCATACTTAATGTTTCTTTAGTTTTATTTTTTTACATGAGACAATGTTTTGCCAAATTGCTGAATTACTCAGGATGGGCTGGAATATGTAAACTTTCTGGCTCAGCCTCCTAGAGTGCTGAGACTGTAGGCATTCAGCACCATGGCCAGCTATGGATTTATATTTAAATTAACTATAGTTAAATAAAATAGAAAAGTAAGTTCCTCAGTGGTACAGGTCATCTTCTAAGTGCTCAGTAGTTCCATGTTGCTACTAGTACCTGCAGTATTGGGCAGTATAGCTATAGATAATTCTCTCCCACCCACTCCCCTGCCACAACTGGGGATTGAATCTTGAATCTTTACAGTGGGCTACATCTCCAGGACTTTTTTAGTTTTGAGACAGGATCTTACTAAGTTGCCTAGACTAGGCTTGAGCTTGCAGTCCTACCACTTTAGCCTCCTAGAGTGCCAGGATTATGGGCATGTGGCTCCCACTGGGTAGATTTTATTAGTGCAACTATACGTTTTAGGGTCTTCCTATTTTCTGAGTGTTTTTGTATTTTCCCAGATTATTGTTAGGTAGAAGTAGTTTATCCTGCTGAATTCTTCTTAGAAACTGATTTATTCATTTGTAGGGGTGTAAGTGGTGCCAGAGGAAAGCAGCAGTGTATCTTTATACTTCACCCACAGGCCAGGAAATAACATACATGAAGTCGGTGTTCAATGTTTTTCCTATCTAAATCCCATTTAATCTTCAAATTGCAACTTAAATTTCTCTTTCTCACAAGAACATTTCCTGCCTCTCCAGATTGGCATCTTTTCTTTGCCATATTTTCTCTTACAGCTGAGTTGTTCCTCGAGAAGATGCATACTTCTTGAGTACTGTGTAGTTAGTGTTCATCTCTTCAACTAGACAGCAAGTTCCCTGAGAGAGGGAAATGTCCTTGTGTCTCTCGTCCCTAGCATTGTGCCCAGCAATGGGTGAACACTGTGGGTGTATTGGTCAGATAATATCGCAGGGCCATTTATAATATGAAGTGTTCTGCAGACTGCTCAGTCTCTAACTTTGCACAAGATGGAATTTGGCTCAGATCAGAGAAATGGAAATATTTTAAGGAGCATGTACACTAATAAATGTACCTAGTCTTAGCTTCTGTTTAAGCCTGGTTAAAAAAAAAACTCAGGAAGGTATACCATTTCTTGACCTTAACTCTGCTTTATTTGTATTCATTTTCTTAACCTTACCACTTCATTTGTCATTTTGCATACATTTTAAGGTACACTGATGACCAAAAAAGGAGGGGGAAACAACTGTGAAATTAAGAAGCTGAGAAAGGGCATAAGGCAAAAAGAAATGTGCATAGAGGAGGCATCTCTTGATGTTTTTTCAATAGTTTAAAAAATAAATCCACCCCTTTAATTATACCAGAGTAATGAGCCCTACCCACAATATGTGACAATATAATTAAAAATGTATTGTGGGCCAGAACACCAGGTTGTCAGGTCATTATATGAATCAGAAGGTTGGAAGTAATGCCCATTAAAGGTTACTAGTTTGGAAAGGTTAGATTAGAATTGAGAGTCTTTGAAAACGTAATACTTTTCCAAATCGAATTATGCTTTAGAAAGCTTCTAGCATTTAACTGTTTCTTGTAATGTTTCATGGAACTACACTGTGCATACCAGAACATGTGCATCAGGTCACGTCCCGTCTGTAATCAGCCTACCAGGATGAGCATCCTGGATGCTACTGTCTCTTGCTTCCTCTTCCACCCCTGTCCCACGCCACTATCCTGACACAGAGAGTCCTTCCTGTTTCTGTACTTCCTGAGCATGGAGTCACACAGTGGCTGCATTTAACCTCAGAGAATAGATTATCATTCTGAGTGACATTTCTGATAGCAGATTTACTGAAAATAAGTTCTGTTTTTAGTTTCCCGTGTTATGGATCTAATTTGGTAACTGGCAGTTTGCCACTGTTTCTGAGTCATTACTATTCAGTTAAGAAATTCTGTGTGTAAATGCATATGTATGAGTGTGTGCCTGTGTGTATACACATGTACATGCTTTTGCCATTTTTACTCCTATCCGAGCATGCCATGCTATGTGTGTTAGTTTCCTGAGCATTATTGTATACCCTTTTCCTATCAGTGTGACAGATTCACTTCATTTCTTTTGAGTGTGGTGTAGCGCTCCATTGCATAGAGGTATCACAACTTAATGAGCCAGCTGTCCACTGAACAGCAGTCAGCTCAGTACTGGTATTTTGATTATAGGAAAATGGGATCCATAGGAATTCATCACTACAGTTAATTCTTTGGGGGAGGGGTAAAATTAATTCTTAAAAATGGAATTGCTTGGTTGTAGAGTTCTGTGCATTTTAAATTTGCTCTGATATTTGTAAATGGCCCTCTGAAGAGTTTGTTCCCACCAGCGAGGCTTGAAAATTCCTCATTTTCCTTCTTTAGATTATGTATTAGCAAGCTTGTCAATCTTTGTAGTCTGACACAGGAAAACCAATTAATTAGTCCCATGTATTAAATTTGCATTTTGTTTAGCTTCAAGCCAGGCTAGTTATTTATGTTTATTGGGTATTTGTTCTTCTCTTTCGCTTATTTTTATATAGGTTTGTTCTTACTTTTTCTTAATGATTTTAAAGAAGTCTTTCTATATAAAGGAAAACAGCCTTTTTATGTCATCTCTGATGGTAATGTTTTCATTTGTTTTTGTCCTTGCAGTATTTATAATAATTCTTTTTCTAAACAGAGAGTTTTTATTTTTTATGTAGCAAAATGCACTAGTTGTTTTGTTTTGTTATGCTTTGTTTTCTTAATGGTTTCTGAATATTGCATGTGAGTAAAAGCACTGGAAACTTAAGACTGACAGGGTAAGCTTGGCCCGGGGGTGGGAGGAATCTCATTGTTGGTGAGAAATATGATTTGTAGAAATTCAAATTAGCAATAAAAGTAGTGTGACTAACTGTAAGTAAACAAAAGTTGTATATATAATCTATTATAATATGTTTAGCATTTTGAACAGCTTTTGGAGGGATTTTTTGATGGCATGCTTTTTTTTCTGTTTATGCTTTGTTATTTGAGGCTTTAATTTCTTAAATTATCCCTTTCTTTTTAGATTGCAAATTATAACCTATTTCCTGCGCCACTGCTGACGCCCCTGATCCATGTCAGAAGTACTTCCAGGTCAGATATGTTTTTACATATTTCAATGCAGGGAAACAATTGAATATTAAATGTTATAAGATACATAGTATGCTTTTGGTTTTCATTGTTCTTTACTAATGTAACAGAAATACTATCTTTAAAATAAGGTAGACGAACCTGTTAGATGTAACCTGTTTGTGCAATAATTATGTAACTGCATATATCATCATATAAAAATATTTTGGACTGTGACAGGAAATCAAAACTCAAATTTTGCCTTCTAGTATTGTACATAGTCTGTGAATTGTTCAGATAGCAAAGGGGTGAGTTCTAGTGTTTAGAGACCCTGTAAACAACTGCTTATATTGTGGGGTTTGACTGGAATAGAATTTCCCAAATCAGGAGTCTCCTTGGATCTAATCTAGATTTATTTCTTTCTTTCTTTCTTTCTTTCTTTCTTTCTTTCTTTCTTTCTTTCTTTCTTTCTTTCTTTCTTTCTAAAGACTGAGTGCTCCAAAAATCTAGATTAATTTCAAGCCTTAAGAAAACTACCTGAATTTTACTGTTACAAGGTAGATGTTAATCTCCACAGTGTGGTGTGAGATTTAAGTTTTAGCCTTACACTAATAAGAAAAAAAAATGATGGGAACATTTCAAATTGAATATAAGACTGCAAATGATACATAGATTTGAATAGATTTCATATCTTAGGATACAAGTTCTCAATTTTATATAAGAAGATTTAGCCATGGTAAAATAGATATTAAATGTCTTTAAATTCTGAAGTTAAACTTTCTATTAAATGTGTTAAAATCTTTTTCTCCTTTATAAAACACTTTGCATGTGACATTTTGGCAAAGAAGTAAAAGTTTAAATACACAAAGGAGTAAAATTAGTAATAAAATAAATACTAAACTTATATGGATAAGTAGCACAAAATACATAGAAACAAAAGTTAGAAGTCAGGCACAGTGGCATGTGCCTGTAGTCCCTCCACTCTGGAAGGCTGAAGCAAGAGGGTCACAAATTTCTCCTGTCCAGACAACTTGGCAAGACCTTTTATCAAAATTTTTAAAATGTATGGAGAAAAAAAAAAGTGGGATGTAGCTCACTATGAAGGTCTTAGATTTGATCTCCACTACTACCAAATAAATGAGTGAAAAACAACGTAACAAGCCCAAGTTTGTGCAGGAAAATTGGGAAATAAAGCTGATTCTTAGGGTTGCCTAGTTATACTGTGATGATTTGAAAGGGGATAGGTTTTCTTTATAAATAATTAAGTGCAAATCTATCCTTTAAAATCAGTGTTACATAGAAAGTAGCTTGTATTGAAACATTAATAGAATAAGGCTGACCAATATATAGAATTACGAGTTTTTGTCTACATGGAGGTGAACCGACAAATAATTCTAGAAATTTCTTACTGTTGATTTATTTGGTGTGCTGACACATTCATTCTTTTTGAAGGTATTCAAGTTGCTTTATTTCATGATGATTTCATGAGAGACTGAAAACAGTTATCCAGCATAAATTTCAAATAAGAGGTACAAGTATCATGCAGTGGGATAGGTCATGACAAGGTCATTTACAAGGAAAGCAGTATTTGTATTTCAGTGGTATATCTTAGTCCATGTTGTCATTTTACTAAAAAACTTGAATGGCAACTCCTGAAGGAAGAAGCAGACCAGTAGCTGGGATAAATTATGCCGTCAAATCCATTTCTGAACTCTTATAAGCTGTGACTAAAAGGGGCTTTCTAAAAACCAAACCTACCAAAGTTTAAACCGTCATTTGCCTGCCAAATGCATCTTAACCCTTCAGGGTACAATTCAGAATCCCTTCCAGATAGGTCTTTGCCCCTTTGCACATAACATAATCAAATAATCTATATTTTAAGGATTCTGCTGTTTAATACTGTTTTTTTCTACTTTGAGAATTGATATAAGCCTGAGATTATCAGTTTTGCAAGAAAATATACAGTGTCCCAATGTTTCCAAGCTTTAACATTCACTGTGTTCACCAGACAAAAGTTTAGAGTTTGCTGAGTGTGGTAGCGCACTCTTGTAATTCCGGCACTCAGGAAGTTGAGGCAAGAAGATTGCTGTGAGTTTGAGGCCAGCTGGGTGAGACCCTGTCTCCAAAAAATGAAAAATAAAAAATACAAAAAAGAAACACAGCAAAAAGCAAGCACAGGTTTGTAGTATTAAAAAAAAAAATCATCTTTAGAGCTTAGAAATGAAAACCAGAAAAATATTAAAACAAGCATATAGTTTCGCAAGACGACTATTTTTTAAAAATCTGTCTTCCTATATGAGCCACAGGTTGTGTTTCATATTTCTGAAGTAACCGATCATCACATTTGCCGAGTGTGATGGCAGAAGTACCTCATCTTCCTTGTCCACGGTGACTTCCTACCTCCCTTGGAGATGCAGCTCTACTCTAACTTTCATGCAAAGCCCACCCTGAGCCCCAATTCTCAAGATTCATGCCATGTTCTTGAAAGATCCTTTGCCTATTTCAGACACTGTGAATTTGGGGAATGTCTTAGTTACTCTCTTGTTGCTGGGACACAATATCCAATACCACAATTTAAAGGAGAGAAGTTTATTTTAGCTCCTGGTTTGTAGAGGTTTCAGTCCATAGTTGGTTGGCTCCAAGGTAAAGCAGCAGAGGAGAAAGAGCTCACAGCAAAAGCCAAGATCAGGGAAGGAAGAGGGACACACACACACACACACTCTTCCAGGCCATGCCCCAGTGACCCACCTCTGTCCCCCAGGCTTCACCTTCCAGTGTCACACCCAGCTATAAACCTTTCAATGACTAATCTAACATCACACACCTGTGATCCAGCCGCCTCACCGAGGCCACACGTGTGAGCACATGAGACTTGGAGGATGCATGGATATAAACCACAATATGTAATAACTATTAGAGGAATAACAGGGACTCTTTTTCTAACATTTCATACTTGTTTCTATAATTGATAAAAGTTATATATATTTAGTGTATATATCACATGATTTGAAATGTTTATATGATAGAGTGGCTAAACAGAGCTGATTAAGATCTGACTGAGTTTCTTAGAGAAAAGTATTTGTTCCATCTCTCTCCTATCTTTATCTCTGTTGCGATTGCACCTTTCTTGTAGACCCATGAAATTGCTCCCCTCGCTCTAGAAATTTCTATGGTTCTACTCCTGTGATCTCCCTGGCCCTGTATAGCCCAACCTGCTTTCTAATAACTTTCGGCTGCTGTTCAGAGTTATCATTCTTGTCACATGGAAGTTTGCTTTCCTGAGTAATTTCAGGAAACCAGCTTTCTTTTGCTTCTCTTCCTAAAAGGAAGAGAAAAAAAAATCTGATTTATTTCATTACCTTAATACTTTGAGGTCTAGTTCAAAAGGCAGGATTCCTTAAGACAGAAATTTTGCTGTTCATTCTTCAGTGGAAGTAAAATTGTGTAGCAGAGGAGTAAAAATGAAGAAAATGCAACATTTCACTCAAGAACAGGGCAAAGTTTGGGCTTCTTTGAGCCCATTTGTCAACCTATTTCCAATTTTATAAGTGTGAGTGCGGAGGGAGAGCAGCTGATGGCTAAAGAGAGCAGTTTCCTGTCATTCTTGACAAGCTGTTTCTTTGACAGAAGGCTGGAGGTCTCAGGGAAGAGACAAGCTGGGGGAAAGCTGTCTCACTGCTAGATGCAGCATCAGTCTTACTAGGATGGCACCAGCGGGGAGGGTCTGCCTGGCTGCACCTGGGCTGGGACCTTTGTGAAGAAATTAAACTGACCCTGGCCCATCTAACATTGTCTCGGCTTCTTAGCAAAAATACTTGACGTATTAACCAGGGCTCTTTCAATTGCAGAAAAGAGCAAACACAGTTCAGAGTGACCTTAAGCAAGGAAAATAAAGAAATCAGTCTGTTGCCTGGGAAAAGTCCAGGGCTATTGTATTCAGATAGGACTTATTTCAGGGGCTCAAATGGTGCCTTTAGGACTCCCTCACTTTGGTTGTTTCCTTGTTAGATTTTTGCTCAGGCAGGTTATCTCCTCACAGTGCCCCCTAGAGGCTCAAATCTTGCATCTTCTAGTTCAAGAGACAAAAGAGATTGCTTCTTTTCTTACAATTCCATGATTGGCTCTTGAAGCAGCCTGAGCCGTGGAGATTTCTTGTCTGAATGGCTGAGCTTCCTGAAATAAGAACTCTAGTCATCTTTGCCTGAAGCACATGGGCTGAACCCCTAGAACATAAGCTTCACTAGAGTAGATTTTTTTTTTAAAGTCAGTTTTGTTCATTGCTGTGTCCTCAGCACTTAGAAGCATTTCTGGCACATGGTAGTGTTAAAAAAAAAAAAAACAAAAAACTGTTGCATGACTGAATGGGTGTGGGGGAAGACTGATTTTGCCCCAAGAAAAATTGTGGAGCTGTTAAGGAACACATGCCAGGTTATAGTAGATGTTTCTCCATTGGGCATGCATGAGAGTGATGACAGCAGCAGTATTTGGTTTAGTCACATTGTTGTATCTGAACTTACACCTACTTGGAGTGCGAGTTGATCCTTTTGAGCTGAGGATGGATCTTCATGAGTCACACTCAAAACAGTGTGATGCACAGGTGTAAGGTGAAGCTAGAATCATTGGGAACCTTGTCACCTGACACATAAAGGACAAAAGCTACCCATGTAATAAAGTCCAGGCCTCGTGATTACCTATGTTTTGTTTCTTCATGGCTCACCCATTATTTTATTCCCTGTTGTGTTTACATCCTTGAGGGGAAAGCATAGCATAGAGTAGGTGTTTGATAGATAAAGAATGAATGAGTGGGTAAATGAAAAACACTTATTGAATGTGCTTGTCTGTCAGACTTTGTATAATGAACTGGAAATTCTGGGAATATAAAAAAGAAAGGGAAATGCAAATGAAAAACATAGTGAGCTACCATTTCATAGCAACTAGGGTGGCTATAATTTTTTAAAAATGAAACAATAGCAAGTGTTGAAAAGGATGTACAGAAATTGGAATCCTCACACGCTGCTGGTTGGGAGTGTAAAGCAGTACAGCTACTTAGTGAAATGATCTGGCAGTTTCTCTCTTAGAGAATAAACTTGTGTGTATGAGTGGAGGTGTGTGCATGTATGTGTATGGGTATATACATGTACACACATATACATATATAGGTACATATATGTTGCATGTCTCTAATTGAAATGCTTGGGTTTAGAAACGTTTCTTTTTTTTTTGAGACGGGGTCTCGCTATGCAGTTCAGGCTGGCCTTGAGCTCACTTTGTAGCCTAGGTTGGTCTCGAATTTACAAGGATCCTCCCACCTCAGCCTCCCGAGTGCTGGGATTACAGGCGTGGGAAACCACGCCCGGCTAGAACCGTTTCTAACTTGGGGATGTTTGCATATATATCATAAAGTTTGTTTATGTTTCATATACACCATTTACATGCAGCCTGAGGGTCATTTATATATCTATAGTGCACCCACATTTTGACTGCAGCTAGTCACATGAGGTCTGGTGTGGAATTTTCCACTTGTATGTCTTGTCAAGTTTTGTATTGTAGGCTCGTGTCAGGTTTTGTATTTTCTAGTATTTCAGATTTCAGATTTTCGGGTTAGGGAAGGCAGGGTAGATAGAAGGTAGAGAGAGTCATCCATAAGGAAACCTAGAATAAGGCCTGAGGGCCTGAGAGTAGGCACAGAACAGGTGAGAGAGCTTGAATTATTGTGGAAACATTTTCAAGAAAAATTGGCAGATTTTGTTGAGATAACTATGCAGGGCTGTGTTAAGGTTTCTAGCTTGGGAACCTGAGAGAGTGGTAATGCCATGACTTCTCAGTGCGAGTCTAGCCCATGTTTAAATAGAGTTAACTTTCCCCAGCTCCCTAACTTGTAGAAGTACAGTGGTACCTCAGCTCACGAACTTGATTCTTTCAGCAGTTCTGCCTACTCATATCAAATGCTAGTTTAGAATGACATTAAATTATAACCTGAAATGTATCGTTTCCATAAAATGTTAGTAGTAGCAGCAGCAAAGCAGTCATAAAACAGATTTAAAATTTAGTTGTCAGAGTATTGTTTCAAAGAAAGAAATATATTCTCTATTCCTGTAAAATGAGGCCCTTGAGCTGAAGGGGGTGCTAGGTAGGCAGGAACCCTTACAAATAGGAACTTTGGAACCCAAAGTCTACCCACTTGGGGTTACAGTCCTGAACTATCGCATGGCCCATGGTCATTCCGTTACAAATGTGGCTGGTGCCTAGGCTAAGTGGTCATTGCCTGGCTTCCTGGAAGCACAAGGATTCTAGAATAAGTAACTCTTTTCTAAAATTCCCTAACCTATGATTGATAATATAGCAGTGTCTCTAAACACCCACACAGGAGGAGATTCTTGTCTTCTTCTAATGTGGAGATCGCTGTTCGGCCTGGGGGAGGAACAGGGAGTTGTCAGAACATAATTTCCAGAATGTGTGAGGCTGTTCTTTGGTTCCTCTGCTTCTGAATTGAGGATCACCTAGGTCTCTGTGGAAGGCAAAGATCAGATAAGAAAGAAATCACTGCTCATAGACTGAGAAATCTGAAACCTTAGCAATTCGTGCTGATGAATTTTATTCCCTTTTAGTATAAGAAACCTTTCTTCTTTCACAAGGGACATAGGGAATAAATCACTGGTGGTACAAACAATATTTGAGATAAATGTAACTGTCAGATAGTTTCCTAGGAGTTCTGAGTCTGTATTTTAATTCAGTGAAATCTACTTAAACTTCTTTAGGGGCTTTAGCATGTTGTCAGTAGCCCAGAGCTCAGTGCTATATTATAAGTAATAGTTTTGTTTGTGTGTATTCTTGAGAAATTCAGCCATTTATTCAAAATTTCTGCTGAGGGCAAACACTAAGCCCAGGTTGAAAATGTTCACAGAGATGTTAGCAAATTCTACTGAAGGTTTGGTTTCCAGGCATTCACATCACAACACAATTTCTAAAGAAGAATGAGAAAAATTACCTTGGTTATATGAAACATCATGACATAATGATGTTTCAGGTTAATGCTGGAGCCCCCAAGAAACTTTGACCAGTTTGTTGCTGAGAATGAACTAACAGATAAAAGCCTGTTGTAAATATTTGTAAAGGGGATGATTTTCAAGGTTGTGAAAAATGAAGACCAGCAGCTAGAAGGAAATGCTTTTATATGAATTCAAAAGCAAAATGCTTTTTTTATTCTAAGTAAAATTTCAACCCTCTGGTGTCTTAGCCTTTCTGTATGTTGACTTTTGAGTATAGTCTATTCACATTAATCTCTTTATTTGCTCCTATTTATTATGAACAAGTTGTAAAAGAAGAAAATGGGTCAACTCTAGAATATATCAACTTGCTGTGTAAAAATGTGGCTCACATTCTATGCTAAGTCACAAGCATCTAACAACCAGTTTGCTCTTCTCCCAGCTGACTCTGGTGTCGACACCTTGGCAGTGTTTATGGCCAGCAGCGGACCCACGGACATCGCAAATCGCAGCAGCCCAGTCACTCCACCAAACACCCTTAATCTCCGTTCCTCTCACAATGAACTATTGAATGCTGAAATTAAACACTCAGACCCCAAGAACAGCACACCTCCCAAATGCAGGAAAAAATATGCGCTAACTAACATCCAGGCAGCGATGGGCCTCTCGGATCCTTCTGCACAGCCCCTGCTGGGAAATAATAGCTCTGCCAACATCAAGCTGGTGAAAAATGGGGAGAACCAGCTCCGGAAGGCTGCAGAGCAAGGGCAGCAAGACCCCAACAAAAACATCAGCCCTGCTGCAGTCATCAACATAACTTCTGAGAAGTTAGAGGGCAAAGAGCCCCATGCCCAGGAGCCCATGGGCTGTGAGATTGTGCCCGCCCAGCCCAGGAGAACTAAGAGCTTCCTCAATTACTATGCAGACCTGGAAACCTCAGCCCGAGAACTGGAGCAGAACCTGGGCAACCATCAAGGGCTTGGGGAGGAAAAGGCCCAGCCGGGCCCGGATCAGGCCCCTGCCGTCATTGGGAATGGAGATTTACTGCTGCAGAAACCAAACAAACCCCAGTCCAGTCCAGAAGATGGCCAGGTAGCCACTGTGTCCTCCAGCCCAGAGACCAAGAAGGATCACCCAAAAACAGGGGCCAAAACTGACTGTGCACTCCATCGGATCCAGAACCTGGCCCCGAGCGACGAGGAGTCAAGCTGGACGACGCTGTCCCACGACAGCGCCTCCCCCAGCTCCCCAGATGAAGCAGGTACCTCGGGGAAGGGGGGCCTCGGGTGGCACTTGCTTTTGGTCCTTCCAGCCATCAGTCAGCCAATCTGTAGACTGACCAAGGATGTCTGTCACTAGGTGAGAGAAACAAGAGCCTCTCGGGGGAGAACTGGGCAACGTGTGTGGAAAATATCATTACTCTTAAACTACATTTTAGATTAGTTTCATTTTGGATCATTCCTAAATTGTTTGTTATGGTGAGCACGTTTGTGGAAGAAATAGGTCCTCGGTTAAGTATGGTAAGTTATCATTGGTATAGAAAATATGCTATAGCACATAGGTAAACGGATTTTGTATAGTCTCTACAAATACCAGGTTTTGTTATCTGTTGATAAAACACAGTTGCCAGGGCCAGGATATAACCCAATTAAGACAACCAACTATTTTAAAGTTGTCAAGTATTTTAAAGAATTTATCTAGTGGGTAGGGTGGTGCACATCTGTAATTCTAGCACCCTCGGAGGCAGAGGAAGGAGGACCTCTCCTCCCTGGGCAACATAGCAACTTCGTGAGACCTCATCACAAAGTAAAAATTACAGGAGCTGGACCTGTAGTTCAGTGTAAAGGCCTTGTGTTTAATCCCAGTGCCACCAGAACAACAAGAAAAAACTTATTTATGTTCACGCTACTAAAAAGTTAAAACATTAGAAGTTTGTTCCTTAATAGAAATTAACATTTAAACTGGACTAGATATTATAAGTAATCTTAATCATTAAGGAACATTTTATAGTGACATTTGAAAGTGAGAAAATGGTATGTCTCATAAAATATACGTAAAAGTTTAAGATTTAACGAGTCTGATTGAGATTGGTCATTGATAGTTTTGGTGTATTTATCTTTATTTGTTGGGGTGTTACATTGTGACAGAAAAGAACAGGGTCCTAGAGGTCAGCTCCTCTTAATCCCATTTTCTCATTATCCCCAATCTACTGACCAGAAGACTGACAGATGTAGAGAACTTTGCTGTGTGTGAGTTCGGGGTGAACAACTTAACAAGGCAGCCCAGCAGCTACCCCTGTGGGTCCCTGGGCTGTGTTAATGTGAGATGAATGTATCAAAAGTATAGAATGAAGAGAAGGCAAAGGATATTTGCTATTTTTCTAAAGAAATAAATGTAAGAAAAAGGGGAGAGAGTAAAGCCATGAACATGTTTTTGAAGCACCCTTTAAGGTCCCAGTCCTTTGAGTGGTAGATTTCATCAGCTGACTGTGGCTGGGGACAGCAATAGGGTTATTGAGATGCATCTTTCTTATCTCAGAAGTGTCTGGCCCTGCACACTGGTAGTATCATATTATGTTCAGTAATGTCACTGAGTCCACAGCTCTGTTACTTTTTACCCATTCATATCCTGTGCCTGGTGGACGTTGCTCCCTGCTAGAGTGTGAATCTACAGAAACTATTCTCTGAGCATCTTTTAGGAAAATCCCACCTCTTATTTGCAGCGATGCATGCTGAGACCTCGATGGCTTCCTCTGCTCCCTGCAGGCTTCCTGCTGCTCTTCTGGGTGGGAGATGTCTTCTGATAGTTAAATTTTAAATTAACTGGAAGACCTTAAATAAATATTGCCCCTCATCATACCTCTTATTCCCAAAGATCATCATTGCTAACTTTTTGGGCTCTGGAGGTGTAAACATTTTAGGCAAGTGTCTACATTTATAATAAATTTTAAAATTTACTCAAATTCTGTAAGTCATTATCTTTTAGAAGTAAAGACGAATATACTAATACATATATGGTAATGGCATAATAGTACTTGGTCCTGTGTATTCGTGGATTCTGCCTTTGTGGATTCAGCCCATGCTTATCAACAGTATTTGGTGGAAAAAATTACAACTGTATTGAACATGTACAAACTTTATTTTCTTGTCATTCCCCAAATAACATAATATTCCATCTATTTGCATAACATTTACACTAGACTAGGTATTACAAGTAATCTAGAGATTATTGTAAGTGTATAGGAGGATACATATAGTTTATATACAAATACTCTATCATTTTATAAAGGAATTTGAGTATCTTTGATTTGGGGGATTCAGTAAGGGTCCTGAAACCATACCCCTATGTATAGCATGGGATGACTATATAGATTAATACAATTGATAGTGTGTATGGGTTTTCTCTAAAATAGTAGGGAGTTTTCTCTAAAATAATAGGAGTATCAGAAAAAAAATTACTCATAAGCTGCTAATTGTTAAAACTAGGTTATGGGTTCATGAGAGTTTGTGATTCTTATTTTATATGTTTAAAGTTTTCCATAATAAAAAGTTAATGCAAGAAAAATTACTCAAAATTTCATGCTTTGCCTTTTCCACTTGAATATATTTTATAAATTAGTGGATTTTTCTATTTCATTCCTTCTTAAGTATTTTTCATCCTGTGCAACCATGTGCCAACTCCATGAGTTATTTAGTGATCCCTCACTGGTGAATATTTAGATATTTCTGTCTGTAGCCCTTGTGCTTATTGAGTGCTGGTGTCAGTGGGGCCTCTGGAGAAGACAGAGTTTAATCTGAAAATACACATCTCACCTCATCCGCTGGGACTCCTGAAATGCGTCTATGACTTTCTCCCCAAGAAGTCACAGATGTTGGCTATACATTTGCTCTGTGTCCTAATGTGATTTGCTGCTGGGTTTCTCCACCAAACCCAGGAGAGTGCTTAGCATGCGAAGTGAACTGGATTAGAGTTCCTGACATGTTGGGAAGGTGCATTTAGTTTTTGTTCTGAGAGCTGGTTTTGAACTTAGCTGAATAAGGATGGCAATGTTGTGGTGGCCTTTGATAAATCATTAGTATTGACAGTTTTGAATTAAATATATTTGAAAAAATGTACCAGCTGTGACTCAAGATCACATTTTTAAAAGCACACTACAAGCCAAATTATTAAGAATTAATATGAAATTATTAATAATTGAATATTAATTTTTTTGGAATTGCCTTAAGGCCAGTTGTGTACTCCTGCTCTTCACAATGACATTTCTGAGTTTCAGGTAGTAAACATTACACAGATTAGTGAGCAAGATAAACAACTTTTCAGTATTGGTATTTCTTTTATTTTCTCTTTTCAGTTAGGTATTCTGTTAGTATTTAAAATGATCACAGGGAGTTTAAAGTAACATGGAATATTTCATTTGCAGTGGTGAAAGTATTTACCATGTATTTCACATGGTATATAATAAACACAAATATTAACTGTTGAAAGTAAAAAAATAGTAAATATTAAAATTATCATGTATTTCACATAGTGAGTGTATAATAAACACAAGTATTAACTGTTGAAAGTAAAACAATAGTAAATATTTTTAAGATACTGATGTGCAGTGCCTTGTGTACATTTGTCTGTGTGCTATAAGCGTATCAAATACTTATCACAGGAGAGTGTGTTTTATGATGACATCATGGCACAGTTATCTTTCGATTGTAGGCTTTGCTTTGGGTTCCTAGAAAATTAGAATAGACCCATTTCTACCTTAGGGGCATGGTTTCCAAATTAGCGTGCTATTTATAAAACAGAATGTACTACCTAACCCAGAGATTGACTGCTTTCTATTTCCCTTTCTTTCTGAGTTGCCTCCTCCAGCTTTTCACTGATTTTTTTTTAACTAATCAATCATGTCTACAATATAGTGCTGTGCTTTTCTTCCTGTGAAAAAAACCAGAAAGCTCTTAAAAAAAGAAAAGGAAAGATAAAAGAAAAGCATTCCACAGTAAAGTTTAGGAAAGTTAGAGAAGGCCTTGTCCTGAGTTCTAAGACTGTCACATCCTCTTGGAACTGTGAACCCAGTTGATAATTTGTCACAGTGTTATTCCTTCCCAGGTAAGTACAGGGGCTCAGATAAGCTGCTTACTTTGCTGTGACTTCTCTCTTAACCGATGTGCCATGTGTGCTTCATGAAGACCTGGAAGCTGGAGCATTTTGAAGCCTTAAGGGTACTAAATTATATGTTAGGTTTTATGTGGTTGTCACAAAATTGGAGACACAGAATGTGACTGACATTGGATGGTGTCATGGTTTATGTCTGTGTCGCACAGGCCTCATGAGTTTGAATTGTGCATTTGTTATTCGTTCATGTCTAGTGCTTGGATTGATGGTGTTAGTGCTATACCCACATAGGGGTGGAGCCAGGATGTGATGTAATGGCAGGAAGAAGGTGTGTCTTGCTCTTTGCTGGTTCCTGTTTGCTGTTTGCAGCCGCCATGAATGGCGGCCCAGCCATGCCCACCTGCCTGGGAGCCAACTGAGTGTGGACTGAAACCTCCAAAAACTGTAAGAAATAAACCTTCCCTTGCCCAACTTGGGCTTCAGGTATTTTGTCTCAGCGACAAGCATAAAGTAACTAAGACAGATGGGTTTGTGTGCATATGTGTGCATGTGTGTGTGTGTGTGTGTGTGTGTGTGTGTGTGTGTGTGCACACTGCTAATTGAACCCAGTCCCTTGCAAAAGCTAAGCAGATGTTCTACCACTGTGCCTCACCCTCTGAGTCTAAGTTTCATTTAATAAGCATTTCAAAGTTAGGTTCAGGGCTATAGTGTACAAAAGCAGGATTTTACACCAACAAAATAAAGTCCAGTTGGTGCAGCAGAGCCTAAAACTCCATTAACTTAGAAAGGGGCTGGGCCGTAGAGTCAGCTTCCTGAGCTTAACTCCCAGTTCTCCACCAACCGGCAGTTTATTTGTCTCTCATCTATAAAACAGAGACTCATAGTCTTTTGTCCTAAACTTACCTTCAAGGGTTAAGTGAGAGCATCTTCAAAGAGCTCTGAGAGCAAAAATAGCATATAGCAAGAATAAATAGTAGCAGTTATTAGTGATTATCAGTACAGTGGTATTGATAAAAAATATTTACTTTTAATTCTGAAATGCCTATATATTAAACTGATTTTAATTAAGACCTTCTGGACTTGAAGGCTAAGGAATGGCCTATCTTTGTAATGTCACTTTCTGGACCAAGGCAGGTGAGCTTAGTAAAGGAGTCA